CTATGGCAAGGTGAAGCACCTGAAAAATGTCAAGGGTGATCATTCTCTCCTAAACTGGCCGACTACTTGTCTCCCAAAACCAAAAGGGGGCCTTGGAATACTTGATCTAGAACGATTTGCAAGACACTCAGACTGCGATGGCTTTGGTTCAGGTGGAAGTAGAAGCACCGAGCCTGGAACAAACTTGACATTCCATGCGACAAAATCGATATGGAACTCTTCAATGCTTCCACTGTGGTCACGGTGGGCAATGGCCACTCGGCGGTCTTCTGGACATCAAGCTGGATCAATGGGAGGTCAGCCAAAAGCATAGCTCCAAGATTATTTGCCAAGTGCAAAAGAAAGAAAATTAGTGTAAGCAAGGCTCTTGATGGCGACAAATGGATTGAGCATTTACTACCAATTGTAAATGGTGATGAACTCTTAGAATATGTAGACCTCTGGGAAGCCATACATCAGATCCAGTTGAACAGCGAGGTTGAAGATGAAACAAGGTGGCGCTGGACAGTGGATGGGGAATACACTACAAGTAGCGCTTACAAGGTGCAATTTACAGGAACCTACAGCAAACTGCGGCTAACACCGATATGGAGAGCGCGGACAGAGCAAAAATGCAGATTTTTTTTTGCTTGGACACTGTTACACCGCAAGATCTCAACAGCAAACAACTTGATTAAAAGGGGATGGCCAAACAATCCCAGCGACGAATCTAGGATTTTAGCTTAGGGTATACCATCAAAAAAATTTCATATCTAATTCAGTAAATCAATTTTAGCAATTCGGTAATAATTGTAAAATTAACAATGTGTTTCGGTATATATGTACTAAGTAACGTAATAAGGCTTAAATTCATGGATTAAGTTGAAGCCTCGACTAAATATAATATAAATAGTTCAAAAGTTATACCGATGACTAAAATATAGACATAAAAGAGTACCGGAGACTTACAATGCTATTTTTCTAACTATTTTATTCGACGCTTTGGAAAAGACATAAATCTTCGTCAACTTAAAAAAAAATGCAATATTCGAGTTTTTCTTTATAACTGCATAAATATTAAAACACAATGTTAAATAATTAAATAATTTGTTAGTTGTGACGTTAGCAAATAGCTACGAAAGTAGATAATAATTTTCTATAAAAAGACAAAGAGCAGAAGATTAAATTTTACCTAGCAAAAATAGCGGCGAGCCTCAGTGACTGTTGCGGACGTGCAAACTGCAAACTGTAGACGAGTGATTGATGGGAGGGCAGCCAGGCAGGGCGTGACTCTCACGCCTCAGTGCCTCCGCCGGTCCACCTTGGGCGGCAGCCTCAGGGCGGCGCCGCGGCGGCGTGTTTCAAACTCCACAGCTACCATCGACGCACAGAGATTAGAATACGAAAAGCCGAAACGCGTGTACATACTGAGGTCTGAGGACAGCCTTGCCGCATGAGCCGCTTCGTGGGCCTTATGACTTTCCGCTTCTGTGATGGATGGCGTGATCAGCGATCCAGGTTATATTTTTCCTGTTTCTAAAAAAAAGTGATTTCTTTCCTTTTTCTATATGAATATATACATGTATAATACGTATATTCTATTGCTTGCTTGCCGGACAGACCCTGTGGCTCCGCCACTTATCCAATTTGTACGCTTTGTGGACTGCTGCTGGAAACTCCACGGCACTTATGCAAAGATTGTACCTTCACAAAGGAGGTTTGGGCAATATTACTGAATTGGTGTGGCATTCCCCAAATCCGTAACATACACCAAAACGGATCCATCCATAACTATTGGAGAAGATGCAGAGCTACCTTTGAACGGACGCAAAAGAGGTCTTTTGACGGGATCATAATCTACTTCTGATGGCACATTTGGAAAGATAGTAATAGAAGAATTTTCCAACAAAAGTTCAAACGCCCAGTGAAAGTGGTTTCTCTATGCAATGATGACATCTCCCAGTACAATTTGGCAATGCATTCCATTCCCGCTCGAGTGCAGTAGCTTTTACTTTCTCCGTTTTCTGTGGTTAGTTGTTCCTTTGGCCGAGGCGGGGTCTAGTGCTATGCTTTGTTGTCTTTTGTTCTTTCTTCTATGAGCTGTTAGGGGCTTGTTGTTGTGTTTTGGCATTTCTTTCGACCCTGGCTGAGGCTTGTGGCTTGTTGTTTCTTTGTACTTTATTTTCTCTTTTTTCTCGTCTAATAAAAACTATGGCAAACCTCTTGTCGTCCTTTCAAAAAAAAACTCACCTATCTATATATAGGGCTTGTTTGGATGAATGATTAAGAAATATATCTGGGCCGGTCAGCTCACTTAGGCCATCGATTTCCAACATCTAGGCCTGGCTCGACTTATCTAGACAGGCTACGCGGGCTAGGTCACCAACGATACAAACCCATATAAACTCACCTTATGCTAATGAAAATTTATGAGAAACTAAGCCGACAGATCTTGAGATCCAGTCACTACAAATATCTCGTTGTCACGTTACCTATATCACAAATGAATTTAGAAAAATACGAACATGTGAAGCCAATGGCTTAAATCCGAGTGAACGGGTTCTATCACAAGTACACAGGATCAAGCATTCACGTCTGCAAAGGTTTCCAGGTCACGCTTTTCTCAGACTATACTTTACCTTTGCTCATGCATGCATTACTATATCCTCGTACCTGAAATTAATTGTGGCACCTGGCCATCAAGCACCATATTTGCATCGGGATGTACTCCCTTCGTCCACAAAACAATGCGATTATGGGATTGGTACCGATTAAACTAGCTCAAGTTTGACCAAATCTATAATAAATGATATTAACATTTATGTCTCTAAGTAAATTTACTATAAAAATCTGTTTCATAGTTAATCTAATGGTACTTATTTTATATCACGAATATTAGTATTTTTTATACAACTTTAGTTAAAGTTTAAATTGTTTGACTTCTTAAAATGTGATAATTGCATTTTTTTGTGGACAAGAAGTATCTTGCCAGTGGCGGAGCCACAAGGTATGCCGGCATACCCTGTCTGTCTGGCAAGCAACCGATTTATGGTCCCGTTCGCTGGTCTACACTTTGGCTGAAACTGGCTGAAAAATATTGTTCCGGCTGAATTGTTGTGAGAGAAAAATACTGTTCCGGCTGAAAAAACAAGCCGAACAAGCCAAACTTTAAGACAAGCGAACGGGACCATAATATACATATTATACGTGTATTCATATAAAAAAGAAAAAAAATCACCTGGACACGGATCACGCCATCTATCACGGAAGCGGGAAGTCACAAGGCAATTTAGTGGATGATTTCAACTTAATCTATGAATTTAAGCCTCATTGTATTACTTAGCACATATATATCGAATCACGTTGTCAATTTTATAGTTATTATCGAATTGCTAATATGAATTTACTGAATTTGATATGAAATTTTTTGATGACATACCCTAAGCAAAATTTATAGATTCGTCACTGGTGCACTCCTGACCATCAAGTACCGTGCTGCTGTATCTTGGCGCAATACGAACTACTGACTACGTACTGTTTGTAAACTCAATTAGCTTCGCACAATTCACATTTAAAAAAAAAGATAGAGCTTGCACACATGATCGCATTGACCGCTATGTGAACTCACTACTGTAGTATGTAAAGTTGTAAACTAAGGCTCTATTCGGCTGGTCTATAAGTCGTTTGTGCTGATGTGTATGGTTAATTTGTTGGGAGAGAAAAACACTGTACCATGAGTCTGTTCGCTGGTTGGTTTATGAATTGATAAGTCCGGCTAGTGCTGGTTTGTTATGAGAGAAAAATACTGTTGGCTAACTGATAAGCTATGACTAAAACCAATAAACGAACGGGCTGTATGGTTGAGTAGCCGAACATAGCCCAAATTACATGCATGCTTTGCACAATTCACAATTTCAAATTAATAATAACCAAAGAAAGTCAACCTGCACACATGATCCCATTGTACTGATCACCTTAGACAAAATCAGCAAGTTGTGCAGCAACACAACCTAACGAGACAACCTGATTTTTCAAACAAAGGTCATGTTCGCTTTTCTTATAATTCATCTTTTTCAGCTCGTTTTTTCAGCCGGAACAGTGTCTTTCTCTCACAACAAATTAGCCGGAACAATATTTCGGCTTATTTTTTCAGCGAAGCGAACGGAGCAAAAATACGCGAGCAAAACTAGCAGGAAACATGCCTATAAAAAATAGAAATACTATACAACATACATGCGTTTTAGAAAAAAAAACACATAGATTTTTTATCTCTCTCCCTCTCTCTTTCTCACCAGTGACCACCGGCGCCGGCGCCGGCGACCGGCGAGCTCGCCCCGGCGCCCGCGCCCGCGCTGGCCATGGCAGTGGCGGCGGCGGTGGCGGCGGCGGCGGCGGCGGCGGATCTGTGATTTGTCTTTATATAGAAAAAATGTGATATGTGATCTGTAGAGGCTCGAGGTCGAAGAAAGGTGGAGGTTGTTGGATCTTAATTCTATGGTGCAAAAAAATTAATGTGTTGAAACTGCATAAAACATGTGGGCCCCATTCGACTTACCCCATATTTAATTTGTTCGTTTTTTTTTTTCTTCAGACGGAACAGTATTTTTCAACTCGTTCTGTCGGGGCGAACGAGACCGTGGTTGTGTCAGCAAACCGACGCATTGACCTCGAGATCATTGCCCCCTTTCTTCTCCATCTATATACTATTCTCTCTCCTGCTCGCTTGCCCTTCTCCTGTTCCGCGCTATCGCCGCGACATGCACAGCGTTGACGTCGCACTCGCAACCTCCCCTACTCCGGATCCGAGCAGCTCCTCCTCCCTTCAAACCCAAACAAAACCGCACCAAACGATCCAAAGCAGGGGCACGGATCGCTGTCTGCACCAACACCAACGCCGACGCCTCACCTCGAGCTAGTCGTGTCGTGCGTGGCCACTTGGCTCAGCTCTCCGCCTAGCTCGCCGGCCGGCCAAGAAACCGAGAGCGATCGAGGTAGCCAGCCAGCCAGCTCGGCACGCCGCGATGAGCTCCGGCGGGGCGCCGCCCGTGGGGCTGACACCGTCGGACGTCAGCTCCGGCGGCATGTTCAGCACCGACCGCATCGGCGGCTTCGGCTACGACGTCGGCGTCTCCGTCGGCATCCTGCTGCTCATCACCACCATCACGCTCGCTTCCTACTTCTGCACCCGAGCGCCCGTCGACGCGGCGGCGGGGGAGGCTGCTCCGTCGTCCCGGCGGCGCCACGGCGGTGGCCGGGACGGAGCCGGCGGCGGCGAAGGCTCGCACGACGACGTCGAGCTCGGCATCGACGAGGCGACGCTCAAAGGGTACCCGGAGGTGGTGTACGGCGAGGCCAGGAAGGAGGCCAAGGCCGCCGCCAAGAAGGGCACCACGTGCACGTGCTGCTCCATCTGCCTCGACAACTACGGCGACGGCGAGGTGCTCCGGAAGCTGCCCGAGTGCGGCCACCTGTTCCACCGAGAGTGCGTCGACCCGTGGCTCCGCCACCACCCGACGTGCCCCGTGTGCCGGACGTCGCCGGTGCCCAGCCCCATGCCGACGCCACTCGCCGAGGTCACGCCGCTGGCAATGGCCAGGATGTCGTCGTGACAACAGGCACGGTCCGGGTTCTTTTCTTTTCTTCTTCTTCTTCTAAATTTTTTTTGCTTTCTTGCCCATAGTTCATAGATACTGCTATACCACTACCACACGTGATTTTCTCTACCTTATACCTTCCTCAGATGCTCTCTCTCCTTCGTTCTCTCTACCAACGAAAGCACAGGATACAAGCAGCGGGTGTGTTGCCGGCCGGCCCGCATGCATGCATGCGAGCGCGGCGGCGCGTGCAAGCGCATGCAAGAGGCCAGCACAAGCGAGAGCTGCCGGCACGCGAGCGCAGCCAGCGCGCCCGGGCGAGCGCCGTGGCACGCGAGCACGACGGCGCGTACAGCGAGCGCGGCCTGGGCGGAGGCACGGCCGGGGCGGGCGACGAGCGAGGCCTGGGCGGAGGCACGGCGACGGCACTGGCGCGCGGCCTGCGCGGATCGGGAGCGCAGCCTGCGGCGGCGCGGCTAGCGCGTATGGCGAGCGCGGCCAGCAGGGCGGCGCGGCCGGGGCGGGTGACGAGCGAGGCCTGGGCGGAGGCACGGCGACGGCGAGCGCGCCTGCAGTCCCATCGCGGGCCCCTCCGGCTAGACGTTGGTAGTTTCTTCCCAACGGCAAAGTCGCGGTTTCTTCACGCCTCGTTTCACGAGTATTCATCAGATTTCATTCTCTTTCCTCGTTAATCATACTGCCACGTCAGCGTTTTGCTTAGTTAGCAGCGTAATTAATAGAAATAGTAGAACTGCCCTTAATGAATATAATGGTCCTAGAAGATGCTCTTGACCTATAACGATGTACTACATGCAGCCCCCTTTTATCCCAGGATTGCTGGGTCAACTCCTACGGAAATTTCATCGTTCGTGCTTTGAAGTCGAATGCGAATAAAGGAATAATGATGCATGCTGTACAAGACAAAGGCTAATGGTTCATTTTTGCCTACAGCTCTTCAATGTACCCTGAAATGCTACTTCTAATTTGATCTTAAATAGAACAACAGTGACCCATCTAAACCAACTCATTTCTCTAATTCAGACGAACTGATTTCATAAGAGATGGAAATTGGGTAAGGAAACAATACTATTGACAAATGTTGTGCTGAAACTTCACATAATTTCTCCCTGAAGGCATGCAGTACCTGAAGGATAGAAATCTGGGGGCCATTTTCAGAAGAGTAAATTTCAAGGAACTGAAACTATTTTCGACACGAGTCACAGAACTACAACTCTTTTGATGACGTAGCCACATAGCTACAACTTTCTCATAAAACTACACTTATTTTCATCGTATATCAAGTATCAAGAGTCGCCGTTTCATGGTACCAGAAGTCAAAATAGCTGTAGTTCTATGATACATGTGAAAGTCAGGTCCCTGGTGAAAGTAGTTGTAGCTCTGAGGTTCTTAGGTCAAAATGGTTAGTTCTGAGAGATTTATTCATTTCCAAATGTTGTACACGATCTTGCTACGACCAAAAGACTTTATATCTATTTTGAATCTCTCTTGATGATCTGCAGTACATGGGACATTTCTAAAAGACAGGGCATTGGATTCACTAGTACCTTACAGCAGTAAAGAGCAAACTAACCTATAACGTTGGCATTTAATAACGTTTTTTTAGATAACAATGTGGCAATTGGCAACTGAAAAGGACATGTAATCAGTTGATTCGTCGTGCTTTACCAGTGTAATTCTGACATAAGCTTCACCAGTATACCTCTGATGCATGTTATTCCCTGCGATAGACACATGAAACTCTGAATAAGTCATGTAACGAGTCCCGTAACAAATTTGTGGGAGTGTCTGAAATCCAATCAGTACAATGTATATACAAAACCCAAATTAGTAATAGGTACTCTTCCATCCTAAAAGTATGCAATTCTAGGTTTAGATAAGCCAGATTTTCTTAAATTTGACTAAGTTCATATAAAATAGTATCAACATTTATGCCTCCAAATGCTTCCTATGAAAATATATTATGTAATTAATCTAATGATATTTGTTTGGTTAGGGTTTTTTATATAAATATAGTCAAACCTAAATTGTTTCACTCCTCAAGAACGAGAATTATACTCTCTTTTTTTGGAACGGAGAGAGCGGTGTTTAAATAGCGACTTTATGCTCTTCAGTATTCTAAGAGTACCATGGTACAGTTATCAATCCACTGGCAACATATATTGCAACCTGCAATCTTGTTCTCCCATCTAATGAAGTAATGAGGTACTGACACTCTCTGCGCAGAATCAAAGGTACAAATTTGAAAAACAGATTTGCAAAGATTTTGTCCGGAATATATATATATAATTAAGTCATTCCTGCAAGATTTTATTCTCCAAGTGGTATATGAATATGAGAGCATAAAACTGAAATGATCAATAGAACATCTCATCAATACTCATACAGAGGTACACAGAGTTATGTAAAATGCTTTTCCTCTGTGTATGAAACTATGAAAGAGAGGAAGAGTTCCATAAAATTTGGAGTTTGATTGGCAAGATTTTGAGACAACATTATTGTTTTCAAGAACTCTCTAGCATTTGCTTTCAGCTTAAAAGCTGACTGACCCAAAATGAAGCGTATAAAAGGAGTCCCAGAATGTTCGGATGCTAGAAATATTAGGCTGGCGGTACGGAAAATTTCTAGCCCACCCCAACGGCCCAACCCGATGCAAACCTCAGTGCCGAACAAGGCCCAGTGCGTTTGCTCAAAAAAAAAAAACAAGGCCCACTTTGTCAAAGCACTGGAACCGCATCCGTGATCCACATCGAGTCACAACCGGTGTCTGGTGGATTCGTGGCGTCACCTGCTCGAGCTCGACCACTCCACCAGGCTCCGGAGTGCGACAGCCCGCCTGCAATGATGACGCCCAAGCACCTCAACCGCCGCCACCTCCTCTTCGCCGCGGCGGCGGTGCTCCTCCTCCTTCCCTCCGGCTTCAGCGCCACCGCTGTCGAGTACTGCAGTAAGCGCGCCTCTAGAAGTGTCCCCGTCTCGAGTTTTGTTTTTGCGGGACTGTGCTTTCGAGCCTTTTTTTTTTCTTTTCTGATGGCGATGATTTCGTGGTTTTTCTGCAGAAAAAGGGGCGGGACTACCCAGTGAAGGTGAGCGGCGTGGAGGTCGTCCCCGATCCCGTCGTCAGGGGGGAACCGGCCACCTTCAAGATCTCCGCCTCCACAGGTAACCAGTCTGTCGGTTGTCAAAGGGCTAGCCTCTGTGTTGCGGGTTACGGATTCAGAGCGTATATGTGGCATCCGTTAGTTCGACTGTGCTTAGCCATTTATTAGCCCGGAAATTCCTGTTTCCTGTGTAGCCAGTGTCTCAGATTGGATATGCTTCTCGTGGGATCAAATCCGAGCTGTTAATACAAAGCCTGCTGTAACATTGATGAGCGGCGTTGCCCTGTTTCACAATATTGTCTGATTTCTGGTGTACCAAACACAACAAAGCGCTTCGTAATGCACATAGGATTGGTTGGAATGGTTGCTACAATCTAGATAAGTTCTATCCTTAGGTGCCATATTGGACTGTTCTTGACAATAGTTGGTTGTCACATGGAAGTATGAAACAGTCAACAGTGTATGTTGCGAATTCATATGCATGTGTGCATGCCGAATCAGTGATTTCTCTTATTTTTAACTCTTTTTTCTATTGTTGCCTGTATTTCAGTCAATGAGGACTATTCTAGTGTATTAGTTGTATCCTACAAATGATGTGTTATCTTTTATGTGATGTGCTCATAAGTTCGTCTGCAACCAAAGGTTAAGAGTTTAACTACAAAGCAGGGTGATAATCAGCCTACAAAGCAACTGCTTTACTCAATATTTTTTCTTCCATATGTAAGACTGATTACAATTCGGACTTTGGACGATGAAATTAGGTACTGCCACCTGTTCTAGACCTGCATATGAAGTTACGAACCGACAGTTTTTTTTTTTTTTTTTTTTTGAACTATGGTGAACCTTTGTGCCTGCCTGAATAAGTTGTGTTAAATCCATCAAGAATTGGTGTGTTTTAACCACCTAATTTGGGCATTTAAGCCACCCTTTTATCGCCTGTTGAACCTTTAATCACAAGTTATTTTGTTACTATCTTGTTTCTCTTAATTTGGTACATATTCCAAACCCCTTGGTTATCAAACCCATTTAGATGATAGTATTGTTTGAAACTTAGATACCTAACCATTAGTATTTGTTACAACATAACGACTTGCTACTTTATCGCCTTTGGAGTATATGTTATCTATCATGTATTATGCCACAGCTACTATTGTTTAGATTGAGAACGAACATCATAAAGAATTTTGCAATGCTCATTATTCTTTTTTTTTTGGTCTGCATTACCTGACACATCGCAAGCTTTTGCATAGAAACTCTGTAATTTTGCTGACACATCAAAACACTATAATATCCATTCTAGCCTATAGGTGTGTAACAGATCAGAGGATGCACACTTGAGTAGAGATGCTGATGCACGCTTGAGTAGAGATACTATACCTAACTCGACTTGTCAACTATCTAGGGCAGCAGGATGGTAAACCCTAGATACTGAGTCGATATGATTTGTCAGGCACTATTTTTGGGTGTTTATTGTATCATGATTTGCAGACATAGGGTCATACATTTTTTTAGTTTTTATTTTATACCTTATAAAGACATGCAGATCAAATAATTATTTTACCTTAGGAAAATGTCTCGTATGGCTACTGGAGCCCTGTGGATGAATCTGAAGTTGAAAAACCATTTAGATTACCTGTTATACTGTTGCAATTTGCTTATCATTCGAAATCATTTTTTATGTTGTATCACCACCTCAATTCACTTGGTTACTTCCTGCCAGACCCATACAGGATAGTCATGAGTCGTGAGATATTTTTGTTTGTGAATACAGATAAAAACATCACTAAAGGGAAACTGGTGATAGATGTTGCATACTTCATTTTCCACGTCCACTCAGAAACTCATAACCTCTGTGATGAGACTCCTTGCCCAGCAACAGGTGAATTTGTGCTAGCTAGCCAACAGACATTACCATCATTCACCCCGCCAGTAAGTATAATGCACCACAGAATTTAGTTCTATTAATAAACTAGACTTGCTGGATTACTGAGGCAGGTAAAATAATGACTGTCTACTTTTCCTGGCATATTGTTTATCTTGCAGGGTTCTTACACCCTCACGATGAAGTTGCTGGGAGACAGCAATGAGGAGCTAACCTGCATCTCCTTTGGGTTCAGCATCGGGTTTGTTACACCAAACCCCATCATCTAAACCTGATATCAAATTTGCCATGGATGTAGTTACGTGAACCTTGTAATGGAACATATACTTCCATATGACTCACAATGTGTGTTCAACTGCTGTCTTGTATTCGGAGGTGGACACCTGACCTAACGATCTAACTACATACAGTGTTATCATGGACCTACCAGAGTTTGGTGCTCTATGTCAGCATGCTTTTCACATGTGTATATAAATAAATAAATGGACATCGATAATTGCTGTTATGGTCTTGTTTCCTCAGTGCGTCTTTCCTGAATGATAAAACTTGAAAGGACAATTGGGTTCACTTTCTTTTGATACTTGATTTTGTTCTGTGATGCCCTGGCGAGGGTGGGATGGCCGGCGTGGGTTGCTGTCCGTCCAGGTAGCCGAATGAGCCTGACGCTGCCTGAGTACAAGGCAACAAATGGACAGACATGGCGCAATGGGTGGCTGGATGCCGTCCAGCTATGTGTGGCAGCAGGATCGCCGGGGAGGAGCAACAAATGGCCAGGCATGGCGCAATGGATGCCGTTGCTGCAGTACGTGTAGTAGGCTTTGTTCCACGCGGCACGCATAACGTTGCCGGCAATGTTTTCTTGCGACCGCACCACGTGCAGCGAAATGGCTCCTTTTTGTTTGCAAGTGGTGGACCAATTAGCACCGACACGGAGGAGTACTTGGGTTCTCTATTCTAGGGCAACCATAACGTGTCCAAAAAATACTTTGTTTGTCTCAAAAAAGAATACAGTTATAGATATGTCTATCTAGATACTTTGTCTTAAAAAGAATACAGTTATAGATATGTCTATCTAGACCTTGTGCTATCCCTCTATAGTGAGACAAGCAAAAGCCACTCATATCATTATGGCCTAGGAGTAGCAATAATTATTATTCTTCCTTCCACTCTTCTCTCCCCCTATTTGGTACCTAGTGTGGATCGAGCACTGTGAGGTTTGCTACAACTACTGTTGACTGTTGTGACGACCAAGTATATGGATTGGGTGATCTAAATACATTGTCATTGCCTTAAGCCCTACTTGGCACGTGTTGTGGTTTCTTGCTACAGTGTTAGGGAAAGCCAAAATTGAAGTCGGTGAAGTCACAACTAATATTATCTAGATAACTATCAATAATTGACTAGCTATTAGCTGGGTGTTGTTTGGATCCACCAGCTAAGAACGCCTTTGAAACACTGATTGAGAAAATGTAGAAATGGGATAGGAATGCACATGCAAACAGAAGAATAAAAACACATGAATTTCATAGAATAGGTGTTTGGATCGGAAACATGAGGTTTGAGCATATGTGTTTTCCCCCATGTGTTGTGTGAAATCAAACACGAGAGAAAGTTTCTACGTTTTTCTGTAAGCAATTTCTATGAACCAAAGGACACTACAACGACTCAATCCATAGGGATCGAAATCCTGCATTTTTCCTACAATCAAATAGGGCCTAAAAGGTGGATGCATTTGTGGTTGTCTATTATGTCCTTTTTATTTTCTACTTGTTATGGGAAGGGTCATGGATAAAGGTAAGTGGCACAGCAAAGGTACCTTTTACAACCTATTAACCGCTGTTAGCTGGGCGGTACAGCGTTAGATGGGTGCCTAGCTAACAATTACTTTGGTCTGTTTGGTTCCACAACAACTATTTTTTAGCAGCTATAACTATTAGTTGGATGGATCCAAATGGGACCTAAGTACTTCCTTTGATTCAAAAGTATACATTGTTTTAGCTTTGATTGTCTAATTTGAACTAACCTTATATGAAATATATTAACATCTACAATACCAAATAATATTTCGTAGTACATATAATGAAACGAATTTGATGATACATATGTTAATATATTTTTGCTTTGCTTTCGGTCAAATTTAGATAGTTTTAGGATAAAGTGAAAATGGCCTATAATTTGGAACTTGGAAGGTTAGCACGTGCTTTGAACTAACACGAAGGAGGGTTGAACTTTTTTTTTTGACAACAGAGGAGGATTGAACGTTGTGTTTCATACACCAAATGTCCTGGAGATTTTAGAGGGAAACATACTGACTTCATTTTTTTAGAACTTATATCGAATTGACATGTTCTATGGTTTTTGGCGGCCATGTTTAAAGACATTTGGTTGAGTAATTTTATTACTATAATCTAAATTAAACGCATGCTCCCACCGCTTTATTTTATTCTACAAACTTCAAACCTTTGCATCTATAACTTGGATGTTCAAACTCATATAACTGCAAGTGTCAAATGAAAATATACTATTCACTATTTATTAGTCACGATAACGGCAAAGGAGCACCCATGCCATATCCGGCGCCAAAAAGGAAGGCTGTTCAAAATTTCGAACCATCCTTTGCATTAACGGCTCTAATCGTGTTCAAACGACCAAATCTGGACGTTAATGGGCTGCCCGGGAAGCGGCAGGCGCCCGAACGCAATTTTAACATCCGAACGCCAGCCCACACTGCCCACGCGGCCACGCTCCGCGCACGCCAACAACGCCCGAGCACCGAAACAGAAACAGGAGAGGCTGCGTTGCACACGGGCCTCGCGACGCGACTCGCGGAACAGAAGCCCTAGCTTTTTCCTTGCGTTCTTCCACCCCCTTCCCTTCCTACCCCCGCGCCTCCGCCCCCGCTCACGCTCCCGCTCCCGCCTCCACCCCGCGCCCTCGCCTCCGCCGCGCCATGTACCCGAGCCCGTACGCCGGCTCCGGCGCCGGAGGGAAGATCCGGCGCCGCCCGCCGCCCCGCGCCGCCTCAACGCCCTACGAACGGCCCCCCGCCGCCGCCGCCGCGCACCGCCTTGCGGCTGCTGCTGCAGCAGCAGCGGCTTCCGCATCCTCGGAGCCGGGCGGGGAGCGCGGCGGTGGGAGCGGTGGCTGGGTGTCCCGGCTGGTGGACCCGGCCTCACGCCTCATCGCGGGCGGCGCCGCTCGCCTCTTCGGCTCGGTGTTCCGCAAGCGCCTCGCCCCGCCGCCGGCCCCGTCTCCGCCGCTGTCGTCGCCTCCTGGTGAGCCCAAGATTCATCTGTGCTCCTCTCTGCTCCCTCAGATTGGCATCTGCAACAACCGTCCGTGATTTTGACTGGGGCTAGGGTTTCGGGCTTCCCAAGCATGCTAAGGTTTACCTCACATTGGTAAGCACCTACGTAAGGTTTTGGGCGATTTTGGCTGTGGCAGATGTATTGCGGATACATAGAGGTGAGCTCGTGATGAAGCCGAGTTGTTTTGCCGTGGTAGCTCACATGAGCTTTCCTGCAGAAACGGAAAGCTTTGAAACCGTGGTTTGCAGTTATGTATATAGTGCATTAGCATTGTTTAGATTTGATTATATACTTCAAAAGGAAATATGTCACAATGATTGATTGGTGTACGCTAGAGTCTAAATTTTAGCGCTCGAGAGGTGTCTAACCTATTGGATCCTTGTGTTTTTATTGGTGGATGCGAAATAAAAGGGTTCTCTTACTCTCCCCATTCTTTCTTACTGTTGGATCTTAATTCTTATTAGCGATTGTGTGTAATGATTACCTCTAAATAAATTAATAAATTATATTGTTGCTGGTCTGATCGCAGTTTTTTGTGCTTGCAGGAAAAAATAATGAGCCGAAACAGGACTTACCTGATTCATCACATGTTGTAAGTAGCAACTGACCGTTTGCAGTTAAACAGAACACATTATATATTATGTTTAATGAGCCTGTATTCTATTTGGTATCATTTGGTTCACCGTTGTTCAGACTAGAACATTTGAAAACTCAATGCAGGATTCGCTTCCAATCCCAGAGGGTGGAATGGAGAAAGGGAAGAGCATAGTTGGCACATCAGATGGCAAAGCATTGTCTGAAGTAGAGCACTTGTTAATGCGGAAGACATTCACTAAGTATGTATCTACATAATTACTATTCTTCAAGTTCTTGTGTTTAATCTGCTATATTTTTCTTAAAATGTATTTTGTAAATTCTCAGTTCATAACTAGCATTCACCCTCACCCCTGGTATAGTGGCTATTATCTGGTTCTGTGATGTTCCACCTCTTCCAATCTAAAACATATTTCAAATGAGATTCCCTTTTGTTGTACTGCTGCACACAGTGTGCTCTTCGCCTTTCCTCTGTTTGCGCTTGCGTGTTGCTTTCACAATGTATTCTTTCGCCTTTCCTCTGTTTGTGCTTATTCTTTGTTCAATGCTACTGAAGCTGTTCATGACGAGCATTACTTTGCAGGGTTGAGTTTGATCGTCTTACAGACTTATTGCGTGCAAGAACCATTGAGTCTGATCCACCTAAATCAATTGTTTCTCGTGAGGAAAAGAATGAAGAAAGTATCAGGATTGATGGAATCGGAGGCTCAGCATTACGTCATATGGATCTTGATGATTCTCCGGCTGTTAAAGTAAGGATTCAATTTGCTCATACAAGAATTTTGTGTTATTCGTGAATATGGAATAACAGAAAATTCTATTATCCAATGCCTGAATACCATGAAATTTCATGCTGTTAGTTAGAGCCACAAGAGGAAGGCTTGTACAATTTATAGTTCCTTTGTCCTTGGAGTTCTGCGTGTATCACCAAGGCTCTTGAAGCGGTAGGGGGAGGTGAAGGCTTGAGGCGAGGTGATGTCACACCAATCTAGGAACAGTGGAATGCAGCAGTGAAAGTAGCAAAGAATGGGGAAAAAGGTAATTAAAGGGAAGAAAGGGGAAGGAGAGGCAGGCCGAGCGCACCATCGAGTCTATACCCCTTTTCTTCGCGACTAACCTGAATCCTGAACTCCTGATTGCTCAATGTCCAAAATGTACTGCTTGCAGTGCTACTGCTCCCTCGGTCCCTCCTTGCTGGGTACACATCCCATCTCTGTGTCCCCTCCTCTCTGCCGCCACCCTTCCTGGAGGGAGTGCTGCGCCGGCCATCAACGCCGAGCTTGGTGGGGGTGGGGGAGATGGTGGCTGCTTGGCCTGGCCGTCAACTTCCCCAGCTACTCTTCATATTTTCTTCCTCTCTTCTCACTGCCTTTTTGGTAAACTGTCCATTATGCCTAGGCTTGCCGATGCGCCCTGTCTACATTGTGTATCATTTAGATCCCTTAGAACTGCAAATTTATGTTACCAAACACTAGGCCCTATTTAAGGTCAATTTTGGTTATGTGTATGCTAAATGAGAATAATGGAACATTACTGAGATTTTCTCCTTATAATTTAAAGACCTCATTTAAATTAAAGACTGTCAATTCTACATTTATAATTTGTTTCAGATAAAAAACACGTGAAAAACAACAGCTTATGTTTGAAATAAGTTCCTATGCCATGTCTAGTAACTAGTTTTTGTTCCGTATTGGCTCCCAGTTAGTTTGGGGCCTTGGGGGGCCTAAATACACATAGGTCTCAAGTTTTTGTTCAGGGATGCAAATGACATACCTGTGCACATTTAGATAATTAGCTTCAACGCCTGTTGTTACTGCACTCCAGAATATGTTGTTAATAAAGCTGGTTAGATTGTTGGATCCATGTTTTTTCCTGTACTAATGTAAAATCGCTAGTCTGATTGGATGCATGTAGCTCAGTAAGCATAATAATTTGTCTTGGTATGACTGTTTGCTACTATATATACAATTGCTGACTTGCAGCATCAACCATTCAGTGAGCTAGGAAGAAGCTAACAAATGTAGCTTTGCTTTTAGGTATTGTTGTCTGAAACTTCTATTACCTTTTATATTTAATTCCTATCTAATTTGCACTTTTCAGGTACATAATCATGGTGCTAGTTCTCCTGCAGAACTCGCGATACAATATATGAGCTCTCGTTATTCGAGGGAACCCCAATCAAGTAGTCTGCGGAGCCGATTGTTTCTTGAGAATAAAGGTGAAGCAAGCAACATTGCCAATGATAGGAGGTCTGGACCACCAATTGTTCAGGCACCACTTGAATTTCGGAAGGAAAACCCTGGTCTCCCTGTAAATGGCTATGGGACTTCGGGATTACGTGGGCGGTCAGCGATATATAGAATGTCTCGCTCTCCATATTTTAAGGTTGGTATATATCTAGTGCACATTATGTCAGGTTCTTGTAGGTTGCTAGTTTTCTGATAAGTATAGTTTTGCATTGCAATGGCCTCAAAAATATAATTTTGACAATCAAATGTAAATGCTACTATAAAATTGCATTATCATCGAAGTTTACTTGTATCACCTTTTCATTTATACTTAACAAATATTGATGGCCAGTGCTGGTCAGATTTAAAATAGTTTGACTTAATGAGTCCTAGGATATCACCTTTTTCCTTCACCAGAGGTCACAAACACATATTTATTTGTATGTGCTCCACACAGAGTGCTCTTGGTTCTACGGCGCTAGAATTTTTCTACTTGTTCATTTAATGAGTTGAGAAGAGCTTCCAAAGTAATTGGAAGTAATTTTTTGTTTATGCATCTTGTAGGGTCAGAACTATTCTAACGATTTGAACATGTCTTCATTGCCCCAACGAGCACAAAGTTTGCATGTTGGTGGCAGGCAGGTAATTTATTAAACATTTGTAGTACTGCATAGCTTTAAGTACTGAAGTATGCATTTTTTTTTCTTGCATTATACACACATATTAGAAAGCGATGTGGATACGTTACAGAATTATGGCTGTGAACGTGTAAAATCTATGATTTTTCTCCTGATGTCCGTGATGTGCCACATGCAAGTATTTATATGATAGAAGACAACATATCAACTTGTTTTATTGATCCTTGTATAATATCATGGAATCTAGGCTTGTTGGATACATCATTGAGGAACTTTCTTTGAGGTGTATGGAACTTCTGCGTGGTCTGAACTTTATGCACCAGAGTTTTCTCACTATACTCCCATCTTCATAACAGGTCTTGAAACGAAGTGGGGCTGATTTAGAGAATGAACTTGGATCTATAGGCCCCATTCGTAGAATTCGGCAGAAGTCAAATATGATGTCTTCTTTTAGAGATTCTCGTGCAAATCCTCGAGGAAGCCTTCTTACTAGCCATACAAGTGGTTCTTATTTCACCGAAGACAGCACATCCATTCAGTCTTCGAGCTCAAAAAGACTATTGGTTGGGAGTAGTCAATCTCTGCGACCCCTAGAATCCAAAAAGAATGGGGGAGATGGTAAATCTAGTGATAGCATTCCACCCATACCTGCTCAATCAAACAAGATGGCTGAGAAGATATTTGAGCAGCTTAATATAATAGCTCCATCGCCAAAACAGCAGCAGTCTGTTACTCCGAATGCTAGTAATTCTATGTCAAAGAAACCTGTTTTGCAAGATGCTGGGCCAAGCAGTATGTATCACCAATCTAGTTCCCTGAAGTTTCAAGATTTGGATGGTGCAAATGGACCCCTTGATACAAACTTGAATGGTTCCCTGTTGAAGAAAGACAAGCTAAATATAATAGAAGACGTACCGCCAAAAGCTGCCTTTTCTGATAGACCTACCCTTTTGGGGAACTCAGTTTCTGCTTCTAAATCACTGACGCCAGGCTTTAAAATGGCTGTGATAGAGGTATGAGAAATGTGTACTCTTTTTATCAAATGTAATGCAGTCATGTATCCAACACTTGTGACCTGACACCTTTTTCTTACCATTATGTTTTCAAGGACTCACCAGAGTTGGATGATGATCTGGAGGTCCCTATTCCATCAAGTAAGATAGAGGTTGAAACAACTGAGCAAAAAAATGATTCAAATAGAAAAGAACAGAAGGTTGAACAAAATATATCAGAGCAAAGGGTCAAACCAAACTTAAAGAAGAACATTGCTGGTTCTCCGGTTAGTGAACAGCCTGTAGCATCACTGTCTAAAACTGTCCCTTCATCTGGTGGTTTGCTTTTATCTAATGATCCTGGGAAGTCAGTTCCCAATCCTTCTGTGGACAACAATACCGGTTTTGCATTCTCAAATGCACCTCCTGGCACCCGTCCTGCAACTGGTGTATCAGCAATGCCACTTGCTTCAGTTAAGGACGATAAACAAACTGGTGCTTCAAATTCTATTTTTGGCATCAAGCAGTCAATTGCATCAGATTCGGAAACATCAACTGTAAAAAACAAATCCACACTTGGGCAGAGGTGATTTCTCTTATATCCTTGTCTCTCTTTTGATGTTTCAGGGACCGTTTATGTTATTAGTAGTAAGAATGTGCACCATAATTGCAATGTCTTATGTGTTACTGTGAGATTGAGTATTTATCTTATCATGAAATTGGTTAGACTTGGTGTTAGTAATTGGATGTGGATCCTTGATGGACAATGGAGAGATTTTTTTTTTAACTTAGTGATTCATTTAAAAAATCTATAGTCTTAAAGCTGACCCTCCTGGAATGTAAGCCTGGTTGTTTTCAATGTTTTTAAGTCTGCTAATCTCTTTTGCTTTTTATGTTTCCAGTGTCACGAAGCCCACAACATTTGCCAGCACTAGTCCAGAGAGAGGTGATAAAACAGAAAAAGCAGAAGATGTAGCTAAATCATTGGACAAGGTGTTGCCCTCAGCTGCATCAACAACATTGAACGCACCTCTCCGTTTTACTTCTGCGACATCTACTTCGAGCCTGAGCAATGGCTTCTCATACTCGCCACCAAAGCTCGAAACTGCTCCACCTACTGATAAACCTGCTATCAGCTCTGCTACTTCCACCTCCATATTTGCTGTACCCAGTAGCAGTCAAGCTATTTCATCGTCTCCTGCATTTACAGCATTTAGTTTTTCTTCCAGCGCTCCGGTTGGCTCGTCAGTGGCAACATCAGCTAAATCAGATGGCACAACTGCTGAGAATAAGGCAGCTAGCACCATATCATTTGGTATAGGGGGTGCAAAAGATGAAGTGAAATCTGTGGCACCAGATGCAACCAGCAAGCCATCATCGATACTTTTTACTTCACCTGTGTCATCAAGTATCGCAAGCTTTTCAAGTTCTCCCGTCACATCTACGCCTAGTTTCTCCCCGGTAGCAGCTTCAAGTGATGCTGCTGGCATAGCTATGGCTGCACCATCTAGTACTTCCACTGCACCAGGTTTACAGTCTGCTTCAACCCCATCATTTACATTTCCGAGCTCTGGAAACAGCCTTTTTGGGTTCAGCTCGCCAGCCCAATCTACTGGCCTCAGCACATCATCAGTTGCTGGTAGTACCTCTCAACCATCAGCTGCTAGCACACTCTTTGGTAGTAAGCCGACACAATCAGAGGGAACAATGCAACAACCATCCCAGAGTTCAAAACCACAATCTGCCTCACCATTCCCGGCCATGACTCCTGGAGTTGGTGCTTCCTCGTCTGGATCTGGGACCTTATCTTTTGGACTTGGAGCTTCCTCGACTGGTTCAGGGACCATATCTTTTGGTGTTGGAGCTTCATCTTCCGCACCTGGAACTTCATCAGCTTTTGGGGCAGCAGCTCACTCATCTGGGCCTGGGGTTTTCTCTTTTGGGGCAGGAGCTTCCTCATCAGGATCTGGGACTGTTCCCTTCGGAGTTGGAGCTGCCTCATCTGGACCTGGAGCCGTGTCTTTTGGATCAGGAGCTACCTCGTCTGGACCCGGAGCCATGTCATTTGGAGCAGGAGCCTCCTCATCTGGACCTGGGATCGTGTCCTCTGGAGCAGGAGCCTCCTCATCTGGACCTAGGACCGTGTCTTTTGGAGCAGGAGTCTCATCTGGACCTGGGACTGTCTCTTTTGGAGCAACAACTTCCACATCAGGGGCTGGATTTGGCAATTCACCATTTGGAACTGGAGCTACGTTTGCGAACCCATTTAGCTCTAGCTCAAGTACTGGGTTCACATTTTCTTCACCTAGCTCTTCTGCTGGTGCATCAACGGTAGCCAGTACGAGTGTGTTTGCCAGCACCTCCGCAGCTTCTTCAGCCTCAGCTTTTAGCAACCCTTTTGGCTCAAGTTCATCCCCACCCAGCACATTTACATTTGGGCAATCAGCTTCTTCAGGCAGCGGTTTTGCATTTGGAGCGCAGCCAGCTCCAACGTTCTCATCTCAACCATCATCAGTTTTCTCATTTACTTCAGCAAACACTAGCATGAACTCGTCTCCACAGCTTACATTTGGAATGACTAATACCAACACAGACTTCGGCATGGCTTCCCCTGGAAATGATCAGATGAACGAAGACAGCATGGCAGATGACACTAGTCAGGCGGCACCTGCGCCAGCGCCAATATTTGGTTCTTCATCATTTGGACAGCAGAATATCTCGCCTGCTGCCCCTGTATTTGGTGCTCCGGCAGTCCAGCCAGCTGGGGTTTTTCAGTTTGGGGGCCAACAAGGCTCAGCACAGCAGAACCCGTCCTTCCCAGCCGCTGGCAGTCTAGAGTTCCAGGGTGGGAATTTTTCGTTGGGCAGCGGGGGTGGTGGCGGCGACAAGTCGAACCGAAGAGTGATCAAGGTCAAAAGGACAACAAAGAAGAGATAAGGGTGAGCCCTCTGGAATCTGCATTCAGTGGTGTCATTTGGGATTGCATTGCACCGCTTGGTACGAACCTTGCCTCGGTTTATAATCAAGGGAATGAAGTTAACTACGATGAGGTTTTATGGCCATACAGATTTCCCTGCAGCAGGACGTTAACACCATATATATCTCATGGCTAGGGCTGGACAAAATACTCGCGGCTCGCCAACTCGCTCGACTCGTGGCCGGTTCGACTCGGCTCATTTTAACTTTTTCATGAGTTGAGCTGGAAGTCTAGCTTGCTAATTTAACGATTCAGTTTGAGCCAGCTTGCAAGCTGTTCACAAGCTGAAACGAGCTGAGGCCTATTAGCCTACGACCATGAATTCAGAAGATGATGATGCTGACCTAGAAGTGTATACCTATTTTATTGGTACGTAATACTTATATTTAGCTGTTTCATATGAATTTTAATTTTATAATTGTTGTGGTACTTAAATGTTGATTTTATCATTGTTTTCCAGGGGGAAGATGATGATGCTGACATTGAATCTGTGGACTTTTCTAAATTTGTGGTGGCAAGCAACTAGTTAATATGCTGGAACTGCATGAGCATGGATGGACCAGCTATGTTGTATGGTTAATATTTTTAAGAACCTAATATGTATTAATCAGATATGGTTGCATAATGGTGGACGTCACCTTCTAGAATTAATGTAGCATAAACATTATAAACATGTGTGTCCTATTTTTTTTTAAGTAGCTCGCGAGCTAAACGAGCCAGCTCGAGCTCGGTAACGAGCCGAGCTGAGCTCTCGTAATATTAACAAGCCGAGTCGAGCTGGCTCAGCCTTGCTCATTGCTGGCCTGTAAACCCATCCTGCCCCACTCAATTCATTTCCTCATCTGAGCCGGCCTGCATGTTGTGTAATATGCTTGTGCTCTTGGGGTGTAAAATAGAACAAAGATGTGTCTCCAGGTGTAATTTTTGTTTTCTTGGCCCCAAATGCCGTCTTGATTTCTTCTCTGTGGTTTGCCTCCGGTATATTTGTCTCGGAGTGTAATGCACTGTTGTATTTTTGTTCTTGGTTTATTACATTCAACAACAAGGTCAGAACTGTATCGTAGAATCCCTATCCAAACTAATCATGCGTACGCATTGATTTTTTACGCGTCTTCCGTGAGCTGTTGCGTGCTCACGCCACGCTGTGTTGTCCTTCTCGCAGCAGAATATTTTCGTTCGCGTGTGCTTGACCGGTTCTCCCTGAAAGCTACCGCTCGGCACCTATGTTTAATCCGTAATCGTACGGGCACCTAATTTGGAATTTTTTGTCCGGCACAGCTGAAACTGGGATGTTACCGGCCACCTGCCGCGGCTGGTGGTAGTCTGGGAGAGCCGGAGATCCGGACGCCCATTGGCTGCCGGACCCGGTGCGACGGCGACGCGCTTTGGTCTTTGCACAGCGGAGCGGCGCGACCCGGTCGGTCGGCCACCCACGCGCAAGGCGCTCTCGCTGGTGCTCGTTTCATTTCAACCCCGCTTTCCCTCCGCTGACACACGGGCGTCGTGCCCCCTCGCCGCCCCCCCACTTCGCGCCCTCTTCCTCCTAGCTCCTGCTCCTTCCTCGCCGTGCCATGTCAAACTCATCAACAGCTAGACACGAGTAGCCACCCAACAACTGGCCCCTCCCAACTGCGCGTATCCGCCGCGGCAGCCCAGTACAACCGCCTGAGGTCCCTCCGCCTCCTGCTGGATCTCTTTTTTGTTCGCTTCTTGGTCCATTCATACTTCCCCTCACGCACGTAACGAGGGATCCCGCGTTTCCACCCTCAGCTCCTGCCCTTTTGTTGCCCCCGCTTCCCCTCTTTATGCTCTCATCACTTCTTGTTCTTCTTCGAGCTAGTAGCTGCCTATCATGGTCATGGTCGAGCTGCCGCCCCCTTCCTTGTAATCCTCCGTCCTCTATAGAGGTTGTCCTCCTGCCCCTCTCTCTGCCTTGAACAATTTGGTTTCTAGCATCTGTGAGTGCTCGCCTTTGACTTCTTCTTCCTCCACCTGCCGCGCCGGCAGGACGACGAGGTCCAGAGCTCGGTGGCCGTGCTGCCACTCTCGCCGCTTCGTTATTGTTGATGCGCAGGCGTAGGTGCTGTCCCAAGGCGTCCGATTTCTGCATTGCGAGCTCCGGGATACCTTGTCTGGCGTTGACTTCGACACGCACTCGACGAGGCGATCGGCGCATTTCTTTCCATCTTTGATCTTGGCTTTCCATAGTTTCCCGCGCGAGGTATCCGATCTCCTGCCCGAAAGAGGTCCGTTCCCGGATGCTGGAAGAGACATACATCCATATATCCGCGACGTGATCTGAGCCGGCGCGGAGCTCGAGGAGTTGAGAGCTGTGTTTCTTGGATCCGAGCGGGGGTCAGCTTGGGCGCCCGCCCCGAAAAAGATTCCGGCGACTCGTGTTCGCCCCGCCCGCCGCCCGCCGCGATGGGGAACACGTGCGTCGGCCCCAGCATCACGATGAGCGGCTTCTTCCAGTCCGTCTCCACGGTGCTGTGGAAGACGCCGCAGGACGGCGACGCGCTGCCCGCCGCCGCCAATGGCCCCGGCGGCGCCAGCCCGGGCCGGTCGCAGTCGACGCCGCCGAAGCCGGCGTCCGACGTGCACGTCGCCGTGCAGAGCAAGGCCCCTGAACCCGTCAAGATCGCTGCCTCCCACTCGGAGCCGGCGCCCAAGGCCGCCGCCACCGCTGCCGCCACGCAGGACGCCAAGCCTGCCAACGCCAACGCCAGCCCCAGCCCCAACTCGTCCGCCGAGGCGCCGCCCAGGCCGCGTCCCAAGGTGCCGCAGGTGAAGCGCGTGTCCAGCGCCGGGCTGCTCGTCGGCTCCGTGCTCAAGCGCAAGACGGAGAACCTCAAGGACAAGTACAGCCTGGGGCGGCGGCTCGGGCAGGGCCAGTTCGGCACCACGTACCTGTGCGTGGAGCGTGCCACCGGCAAGGAGTTCGCGTGCAAGTCTATCCTCAAACGCAAGCTCGTCACCGACGACGACGTCGAGGACGTCCGCCGGGAGATCCAGATAATGTACCACCTGGCGGGACACCCCAACGTCATCTCAATCCGCGGCGCGTACGAGGACGCCGTCGCCGTACACCTCGTCATGGAGCTCTGCGCCGGCGGCGAGCTGTTCGACAGGATCGTGCAGAAGGGCCACTACACCGAGAGGAAGGCCGCCGAGCTCGCCAGGGTCATCGTCGGCGTCGTCGAGGTGTGCCACTCCATGGGCGTCATGCATCGGGATCTCAAGCCGGAGAACTTCCTCTTCGCTGACCAGAAGGAGGAGGCCGCTCTCAAGACCATTGACTTTGGTCTCTCCATTTTCTTTCGCCCTGGTGAGTTTCTGCGATCACATTGTTCATACGTTGTTGACGTTGTGAACATAACCTTTCATCATTCAAAAAAAAGAAGAAACCCTACATGTCAACCCGAATTGGTATTTTTGTACCTTGTTTTTCTTTCCTTTGACTTGATCCATGATTTAGTTATGTGCTCCCATCCCACCAGCATTTTATCAACATTATGTGATGCAATGCCATGCTTCTCAATTTATCATCAAACCAATTATGATGCGGTAATTGTTATTATATGTCCGAGTTGCCAGAGCTGTTTGATGACCCTATTTCAACCAGTTACAGAGGAATGGCATCTGCTATTCAATTTACCGATTCGATCTTCAACAGAATTAGAATTCAGAATATTGTCATTCATTAGGTGTGATATGTGGTTAGTGATACTACATTATGTTTTTGTTGCTGTACCGGTGAAAATCTGATCCTTGTCACTAAATTTATTTCGAAGGATTTTTTTGTGCCACCAACAGTTGAGACATACAGCTGCATATATTTACTAGTCTGCAACTCTGCATTCCATCCTTGTGATATCAATCATTCTCCATTTCCCTCAACATTTATGTTCCATCTTACTTCAGGTCAAATATTCACTGATGTCGTGGGTAGCCCTTACTACGTCGCACCAGAGGTCCTGAAGAAGAAATATGGTCCAGAGGCAGACGTTTGGAGTGCTGGTGTAATCATTTACATCTTGCTGTGTGGAGTGCCACCATTTTGGGCAGGTGAAATACTATGCAATTTTCAGTCCAATGACAGTGATACAGCAATACAGCATTACGCAAATCTCCTGGCCAATCTCTTGTACTGATCACGCTCTACATTTGTTTGTCAATCAGAGAACGAGCAGGGCATATTTGAGGAGGTTTTGCACGGGAGACTTGATTTTGAGTCAGAGCCATGGCCCAGCATCACCGAAGGCGCCAAAGATCTTGTGAGGAGAATGCTTATTAGGGACCCACGGAAGAGATTAACTGCTCATGAAGTTCTACGTGAGTTCCTGACTTACCATCAATCACATCGCTTCCCCATTCATGCCTGCATCATTCCCATTTTCGCAGAATTGCATCCCTTCAACAGTGCATTGTAGCTGCTGTAATTGCTGAAGCAGTGTTGTCTGTTATCATCTTTCAGGGCATCCGTGGGTTCAGGTTGGTGGATTGGCTCCTGATAAGCCGCTGGATTCCGCTGTTCTTTCTCGTATGAAGCAGTTCTCGGCAATGAATAAGCTGAAAAAGATGGCTCTTAGGGTAAGTCGTTTGGTCTTGAAAGAGTTGTTTCACACACCTCTTTATTTTGTGCATTGGTGTTGGACCTTAGCTACCATCGTCTTGCCCTTGTACTCATGCGCCCAGTCAATACCTGCTGTATGGCCATTTGGTTGATGCAAGACGCATTACAGATTCATGCAAAACAAAAGGAAATACTAAATGGCAATCCATCCAAATGCATGGTTGAACTGAACGCTGTTCCTGCCGAAGAATCCAGCCAAACCCGGCCGCTTTGTCCTGATATCTAGGTTTGGTGTTTGTTTGCAGGTGATCGCCGAGAACCTATCCGAGGACGAGATCGCCGGCCTGAAAGAGATGTTCAATATGATCGACGCGGACAACAGTG